AACTTGGCAGTTAGAGATTGGAGGTACCTACCTCTTGGATATCTGGCTATGCCTTCTGCCATCTTAAAAATAGTCTATTGTTCCCAGTCCAAATAACACAGTGTAGGGAAAAATTTTTAAAAATTATTTTAGAGATAGTTACCATGATGCCAACCCTTAATTATAAGAATAACAGCTGTGGACATTCCTAAGGTATGGTTTACTAAGAGGAATTATTCTGGACATGAAAAAATACTAGGATCTTTGCTAGGAATTGGTACCACCTAAAATGAATACATAATTGAAAACTTTTTCCATTCTGAGTTTTTAATTTTTCTTACTATTGTGTATGAGTGTATGTTGTACATATCCAAATAAAGATCAGAGGACAACTCTAAGGTGTCTGTTCTGAGGAATGAATTTAGCCTTATTTGGAAAGTGCTTTTACCCAGTCATCACACTGACCCCTTCTGTGCTTTTAACATAGCCACCAGTTTCACTACCTAAGACCATTAGGCCCCACCAGAGCCCTTTGGACTCCTGTGCTCATGTACTCCTAAATAATGGTCCTTGTTGCATGGGGCGGTGTCAGTTCTGTTATATGTACCTCATGTTGTGGATACTTCGGGGCAGATTGAATTGGAAACTTTCAAACTCTTAAAGGTGGCTAAATCTTATCTGGCACTGGTTCCCTCTTGTGTTCTGCCCTACCACTTTCAGTGATTCTCTTCATACAAGGAAGATGTTTGGCTTCTCTTTAAGCGTATCATAAGCTGTTTTAACAGGTACTACAGGAGATATAGACCAGACTCAGGGTAATGTTAAAACCTTTAAGACTTTGAATTCATCCCAACAAGAAACCAGAATCCAATTAACCCAAGAGATTTTGGAGATCTAACAGGTATCTAGATGCCCTCACTGGCAGCTGGCTCCAAGAAGAGGGCCAGATGACTAGCTAGCAATAAAAATGAAGTCTTAAGCTCTGAATATCAGCCAGTCTGTAATGAACACTCGGACCAGCATGAGAACTTGGTCAAGAGCTTTTTTTAACCAAGCCTTCTTCATTCCTTTGGATCACACTAAGTTTATGCCAATCGCTCTGTCTCCCCAGTTTGCAAACTACATGATGAAAGTCTCTCTTTTTGCCTTAAAATTTTTCCTAGCAATATTTTTCGTCTTCATTAAGAACTACATTTTTAGAGTGCACGTTGAGAGAGAAAGAGAAAAGAGACCACATCTGTGCAGATGTTCAAGGAAGCTGTAAGCTATAAGAAGATGTGGGGTCCCTAGAGCTGTAGTTACAGTTTTGAGTCACTGGTTTGAGTGCTACAATATCTAGTCTTCTGGAGTAACAACAGCTGCTTTTAACCTCAGAGCCATTACTGCAGCCCCAAATATACATTGCTTAATATTAATAAAGCTGAATTTTTTGGGTTTTTTTTATTTTGTTACATATTTCTGATGGTATAACCATTTTTCCATGTGTATATAAAATAAATTTGTATATTATATATTTTAATAAAATGTGCAAAATAAAAACATTTGTTTCTGTCTTTATTAAAATTATTCACGCACACCCATTTGGTTTGGTTTGGGGGGGTTGATTTTGTTTTTCAAGACAGTGTTTCTCTGTATAGCCCTGACTGTCCTAGAACTCACTCTTGTAGACCAGGCTGGCCTCAAACTCACAGAGATCCACCTGCCTCTGCCTTTCAAGTGCTGGGATTAAAGGCATGTGCCACTGCCACCCAGCTATTTCTATAGTTAATATACTATCCCAAAACCATTTGTTTTTAAATTTTATATTATATGTGTGAGTTTTTATTACTCACTATGTTTTTAATTTTCTGACATACTTTTTTATTCCTAGTTGTACTATTGGTCTCCTGCTTCTATTTTTGTTAATTTCTTTAAGATTATTTTTCTTTATTTTATATGTATGAATGTGCTACCTGCATGTATGTTTGTGTATCACATGTGTGCCTGGTCCCCTTGAAGTTCAAAAGAGAGCATCAGATCCACTGGAACTGGAGTTATAGATCATTTTGAGCTACCATGTGGTGCTAGGAACTTAACCCAGGTCCTCTGCAAGAGCATTATGTGCTGTTAACCCATGAGCCACCTCCAGCCCATGTTTGTTGATTTCTTACCCTTTCTACTCGCTTGGTGTCACTTGCTTTAAAGCTATGAGTTATAAATGTGAAAACTGATAATTTACCTGTGATTCTAGAAAGAAAAGAACGTGAACAAAATGTATTGAACAGTTGTGTGTCATCTAAATGACACACCATGGGAGCTGGGTTCCTCTGAGAGGATAATCGACATAAAGGAATGTTTCATTTGCTGAACTTCAGATTCCTAATATTTTGGGATTATGGGTTTGTTTTGTTTTGTTTTAATTATAAATCTCTTAATTTTGTTGTGGTTATTGTTTTTAAGTTCAAGGCTCTGTTCCTCTAACTCAGTTCCAGTATAAAAATGGGAAGTGTTTTGTTTTGAGATAGGATTTAACTATGTAGCCCTGGCTGTCCTAGAATTCATTGAGATTCTCTGCCTCTTGAGTTCTGGGTTAAAGACATGCTCCTACAACACCTAAAACAGAAATTTAAAAGGAAAAGAAAAGAATTGTTCATTCTGACATGGAGTCTTTAATCAAACAAACAAAAGCCTACAGTGGTTTTTCTTGTTCTAATTAAAAGTTCAATACCTATTCCAGGCAGACTAGTAGTATGCTTTCCACTGAATGGAAGAAAGCACCATTCATTTTTTAAAAAAAAGTCTTTGAAAAAGGAAAGGCAGTCAATATAGTTGAAAGGAGACAAAGGTTAATAAGGATTCAAGAAACCAAGGATGAAGAGGTCAAATGCTTAGATTTTAAGATGTAAACTAAGTGACAAGAACTATATCTTTGCACATTGATAGCCCTGTTAATAGACACTGAAGGCATGCTATTAAGCAAACCTGTGCTGTTACTCTCTTGGTGTGTGTGTCATTTGGCAAAGTCGTCAATCACTCTATTTCCCTCTCCCTCACATCTTGTAAGTTATAAATTGCAGTTCACTGTGTCTTAAGCATGTCATTAGTCTCTCCTTTCCAATTCCACAGATTTCTCTGCTTCAATACATCACCATTACTTTTCTTCACAAATGATTATTTCATAACTTTAGCCTCCACACAACCATTAGGAGTATTGGTCTGAAAGAAGTAGTAATACACTCTCTTGGTTTAAAAAACAATAGTGAGTGACTGGGTTTGGTGGTGCACACCTTTAATCCCAGCAGATCTCTGAATTCTAGGCCAGCCTCGTCTACCTAGCAGTTCCAAGCCAACCAAGACTATGCAGTAAAATCCTGTCTACAAAAATATTAAATCAAAAAATAAAAACCTATAGTGAGTAACTAGAAATGTATCTAAATGGTACTGCACTGGGCTAGCATGCACAGCTCTGTGGGTTCATTCCCTAACACCACAATAAACAAACAAAAGTCTACAGTGTTTTTTTTTATTGTAATTGAAAGTATAAATTCATCAACATGGTATTTAAGAGTTTTTACTCTTTGGTCTTATCTTGCTTTTTTCTAACCTGCTATGCTAGCATATTTCTTTCTCAGGAGTTCAAGTCTGTCAGAATATACCTCACTTCCAGATGTTTTCCTCACTCTGCCCTTTTATCTCCAAAAGAATGAATACCAGTTCCCTTCTCCATGTTTCCATTATGCAGTCTCTAAACCTCTCTTTTCACCTGTATTTCAGGTAGTCTTTGACAGTTGACTCTAGGAAGATGCTAATTTTCCCAGTATCTACCATTTACTTAGCAGAATGCTTGGTACATATGATATGATATGCACATCATTGAGACTGGTCCCATCATATTAGTACATCTTCTGGATTTTGCAAATAACTAAAATGAAGCTTAAAAAGACCTCACAGATAGTACAGTAATATAAGACAAAAACTTGTCTCCTGAAGTCCATACTGTTAGGCATTTTGCTTAATTCTGTAGCCATACCTTTGCCTTTTTAGAAGGAGATAAATGCTATTAACTAAATGTCTATCTACCAGACTGGTAGTTTGGGGCAACCTAGTAGTATATTTTCTACTGAATGGAAGAAGGTGCCATTCATAAAAAAAAAATGTTTTTGAAGTCTTCAAAACACAAAAAAAGGGATATATTGTTGGTTGGGTCTCAAACATTCGGGGTGAGGAGTGAAATAGTTTTAGTGTCTAATATGGCTTCCCGTCACAGCAAACCCACGCACAGTGATGCACAGTAGCAGTGTCAGTGGGCTGTCAGGTGAGCCACTTGAGCTGTGGCATAACACTCTGCACAGCTAACCAAATGCATAAACACACTTCAGGTAGAGTAAATGGAGTGGTTAGGCTCGGTAAAAGCCTGCACAACACATATATGTGGGCTTGTTTTCATATTGAAAAAAGTGTTTTAAATAGCACATGGTATTCATTAGTTCTTATCTAAATAAGTACAAAATCAGTTACATCTTTTCTTTGGATGTTTTGGGGTCGAATAGTAAATCAGTATAGCATTTGTTTATTTACATTGTGAATATGTATGCTCATGAATGTTCACATGTTTGAGCTTTTACACATTCCCACTGTGGTACTCATGGGAGGTCAGACACAACTTTCAGGAGTCATTCTCCACCGTATAGATTCCAAAGATCAAGCTCAGGTGTTTAGGCTCAATGTCAAGCACCCAAAGAGCCAGCCCTCTCACTAGCCCAAGGGCACAGCATTTCATATCTCAAAGACTCAGTGTGAATGTTGGTAAGAAATGGCAATTTTAAGCAAAGTGTGTGCACATGTTTATAATCCTAGCACAGGGGAGATAAAAGAAGCCAGATTTTGAGTTTAAGACCAACGTGGCCTCCATAACAGTACCCATCTAAAACAGTGATTTTAGTCATTAGTCCTTTATTGTCATCACAGTTTCCTTAGAGGCGTAGTAAAATATAAAATAAATGCAACTTTTTAACTATTCTTTTTTGTTCTTTCTCTAGTGTTGCTAATAACAGTACTTGTAGTGGAAGGGATTGCTGTGGCCCAAAAGACCCAAGGTAAAGTATGGAGAGGTACATGATATGTTTACACAGTTTGAAAGAATTACAACTTTTGGATGCTACTTCATAATCCTTTGTTTTAGTTTTCTCTCTATTACTGTGATAAAATACCATGACCAAAACAGCTTGGGAGAGGAAAAGATTTATTTGGCTTACAGTTTTACATCACAATGCATCATCAAGGGAAGTCAGAGCAGGAGTCAGGGCAGGATTCTGGAGGCAGGAGCTGATGCAGAGGCCATGGAGAAGTGCTGTTTACTGGCTTGCTCTCCCAGGCTTGCTCGGTCTACTTTCTTATAGAACCCAGAATCAACTACCCACAGTGGCCCTACCCAGTGAGCTGAACCATCCGACATCAATCATTAGTCAAGAAAATGCCCCACAGACAACTGAGGTGCCCTCTTAGATGACCCTGGCTTAGTTGATAAAAAATGCTAACCAACACATTCTTCTTAATCATTTCAATGACCGAAAATGTTCTATTAACCTATGGATCTCAACTTAATCAGAATCAGCTACAAAATTGTCTGCACAAAGTTTGCCCTGATAAGCTTTTTAAAAGCCAGCATCACTAATAACTTTTAATACACTGTTAATTATATCCAAAATTTAAATGCAATTTACAGTTTTATCACTAAGAAAAATAAAAAGTGTCTTTTCTAGTGTGAACAAGCACTGTCTTTAAGTACAGTCTTCAACGCTCTTTGGTCCTATTGGACTGTCTGACCTTGAAGATTAGTTAGTGTGATTTTTTTAAGCAAATTTTCATGTTAGAGTTAGTACATTTCCTGTACAACTTTATTTTTTTATTTTCATCAAAGTTATATGTTCACATGATAAAAATTCAAACTATATGAAACAATTTGAAAAATTATTTTTCATTCTATTCTTTCTGTTTCCTGCTTTACAAGAGCCACAACTATTTTAAACTTTGTTTATATTTTGTGTGGGGAAAGAACACACATATACTACAGTACACATCTGTAGAGTAGGATAACACTGGGAAGTGGGTTCTCTCCTACCACTCTTTGAGTAGTGGAGACTGAAGTCATGCCATCATCTTGCAAAACATGAATTTTTAATCCTCTAAACTAGTGGTTCTTAATCGGTGGGTCAGGATCCATTTGGCAAGCCTCTATCTCCAAAAAATGTTTGCATTATGATTCATAATCATAGCAAAATTATAGTTATGAAATAGCAACAAAAATAGTTTGACAGAGTGGTGGTGGCAAACTCCTTTAACCCCCGTATTTGGGAGACAGAGGTAGGCAGATCTCTAAATTCAAAGCCAACCTAGTCTATAAAGTGAGTTCCAGGACAGCTGGAGCTACACAGAAAAACCCTGTCTCAATAAATAAGTAAATATTTTTTTTAAAAAAAGGAGGAAGAAAGAAAAGCAAAAATCAGCATTTAAACTACTCATCAAAGTTTTTCAATATGAATTTGTTTTTAGGTTTAGGAATATTTTGGTTTTGTTCAGTTCTAAAATTTCCTCATTCAGGAAGGGAGAGGGAGTTGATGGTGGGGAGGATGAGGGGAGGGACTAGGAGAGGGAAGGGAAACTGATTGGATTGGGGGAAATTAATTAATTGATTAATTAATAATAAAAAATTCCTCCTTCATTTTCTCTAGTGTTTTAAGGAAATTCCTATTATTATAATACTTACAGCTTTCTTGGGTTTTTATTACTGTTTTTTAAAGTTGACATACAAAGTGCTGAGTGAATTTAACATAATGAATTCACTGTATATTTAATTTATATATATTTTCACACATATTTTTGTTTCAATCTGAGGAGACTTCTTTAATTTTTATTCCATAAACTAACAATTACAAAACTTTTTATGGAAAGAGCCAATAAATATTTAAGCTTCTATGAGCCTGTCTCTGAAACAGTTACCCAGTTCTTTTGTTGTGTGAAAGCAACCAAAATGAGCAATTGAAGGGTATTGATATGGTCCAGTAAAACTCAACACACACCTCTGGCATCACACTTCTGCTCTAAACTTTCTCACGCTTTGATTTTCTCTGTTTGGTGGAGCTTGCTTCTATTTTTAAAAAAAAATGTTTCTTTTTGTTTTATGACTGTATTTGCTTTTCAGTCTCTGGAGAAATTGCACGAAACCCTGTTGTTACTCGTTGGTTGGTAACTTGGGTTTATTGTTTGTTTTCACTTCCTTGCATAGGCTTTATTTACTCAGGGTTGCTTTATTCCATGTGTTCCAACATATTTTTCATACTGGAAACTTTCTTCAAATTCCTGGTTGTCCTTGCATATGTACTTAATATTTTAATGGGGGCACTGAAAAACTGACCATGCATTGTCTGTAGGTCTGGGTAGGATGTGTTTACTGTGGCTCTCATCTGGGATTTGAACTGACATTTGGGACTCTCTGATCTGTATGATTAACCCTTTCTTAGATAGATTGGATTCCCAAAATATAATTCTCTATTTGCTGTCAGAGTCTCTGTTACTTCAACAGACGAAGTGGGAGAAAGTTGGGACTGTCAGTGAGTTTATTAACATTCATCAGCCTCTCAATTTTCAATTGCTGTTTTCACCCTCAGCTGCACCTGGTTGTTCCAGTCCATTAATTCTGCTTTACTTTCACCAAAGTAATGGTGAAACATATATGGGTGTGGAGGTCAGAGGACAGCTTGCTGGTTCTGTTCTTCCACTATATGGCTTCCGAGAATCAAACTCGGAATGTCAGACTTGGCAGGTGCCTTTTGTGGCAAACGTATCCTTTACTATCAAGTCTTCAAAATAAGTATAATATACAAAAGCTTTCTTCCACTTCTGCTGTGATCAGTTGGTTTTACTAAATTTGGCAGTGGTTCTCGTGAAGTTATATATGCAACTGAGTAGGCAATTTTTTAGGGTGTTGGGGGGAAAGAAAAGATTGCTTCTTATATTTTGCTGTAATGGTATTTAAAATTCTCTTCAAGATGGACAAAACATTGGAATCAAGCACATTCCTGCAACCCAGTGTGGCATTTGGGTTCGAACCAGCAATGGAGGTCATTTTGCTTCACCAAATTATCCTGACTCATATCCACCAAACAAGGAGTGTATCTATATTTTGGAAGGTATTTAACAAATCTGTGTTTTGTTGGATAAACTTCTACTTCACTATAAAACTGAGGACATTAGCTAAATGCCCTGTTTAAACCAGTTAGAACAAATTTTAAATATGTTTGTGAATTAAATTGTAATAAAGATAAACATTTGTAAATATCAAATATGTTAACAAAATAATAGTTAATTTTAAGGAGAATTTGTAATTGTTTAAACCATAGTTAAACTATGTGCATCACTGTATGAGAAACTTCCCTGATAAGGAACGTAAGTTCACCGGCATCCCTGCTGGGCTTTCTGTTCGTGCTGAGTGCCTTTGCTTTCTTCTATATCACGTATGACACACTGTACATTGTATTTAAAGTAAGCAAGAATTAGCCTTTCACCTCTTCTAATTTTAGTCAACCAAATATATTTAACTAAAGTAATGACATATACCACAGGGAAACATTACTATAATTCTACAACATAGCATGGTTATTCCTGTGAAAGAGCGTTTCTTACGGCGTTGCATGCGTAGTTCTTAGTGAGATTCTCAAGTGTGAAGTACTGGAATGATTGATTTGCTTGTCCAACATGTATGTCTTGTTCATGCTGCCCTGTTTGCTTACTCTTACTTTATAGCTGCCCCTCGTCAACGGATAGAGCTGACCTTTGACGAACGCTATTATATAGAGCCATCATTTGAATGTCGCTTTGATCACTTGGAAGTTCGAGATGGGCCATTTGGTTTCTCTCCTCTCATAGATCGTTACTGTGGCATGAAAAGCCCTTCGTTAATTAGGTCAACAGGAAGATTCATGTGGATTAAATTTAGTTCTGATGAAGAACTTGAAGGACTAGGATTTCGAGCAAAATACTCATTCATCCCAGGTAACAAATTAAGTGTTCTTAAAAAATAAGTTACCTTTCAGTATTTGAGTGTACAACTGACTTTAGAATCTTAAGGTTAGAAAAGAATAATTTGATCAAGGTAATCAGGTTAAGACTAAAGAAATTGTCAAAGTCAAAAGAAAAATCAGTCTAGGAACAAGTAAAAACTTTTTAGGACTCAGAGGTTAGGAGGATTGACTGCTCTTCCAGAGGTCCTGAGTTCAATTCCCAGCAACCACATGGTGGCTCACAGCCATCTATAATGAGATCTGGTGCCCTCTTCTGGCATGCAAGCATACATGGAAGGAATGTTGTATACATAATAAATAAATAAATCTTTAAAAAAAACTTTTTAAAATAGGGAGCAGTAGACCACATCCCAGTCTAATTCTGTGGTAGACAAGCAAAGTTACATTTTCTTCTTAAATACCTTTTAGGACACACATCTAAGACCAATAACATCAAAATAAATATATACCTTTAAATAATTAAATCCACTGTCTTTTCACAATTCCCACAAAGGCAGATTTTTAAATTTAACTTATTATAATTACTTTAGAAGCTACATAACAATAGAAATACTCCTGCACCTGCATTTAAGAGGGCTAGATTTGTTTGTCTTTTCTCTACCACTCAGTAACTATAACATTGAAGCATGAAGTTGTACCTGAGATGTAGCAATAAATTCTGAATTCACCTCCTGGATCTGACATAACTAGTTTATAGACATCTGGTAATTTAAGAAAAGAGAAATGCGAGTTGTAGTTCTAGAAGCCAAAAATTCCAAAATCCAGTAAAGCCTAGCTCAAAGACAAATCTTGTTTTGTTTGGGGGTACAGGTGGGAGATTGAGACAGTCTTTATGTACCCCTAAGCTGTCCTCGAACTCTCTATGTAGACCATGTTAGCCTCGAGCTCCACCTGCCTCTGCTGAGATTAAAGGTGTGCACCACCACATGCCATTAGATCTGTTCTTTATCTCTTCCATTGTCTGGAAGATTATCCCAGTATTTCTGTGTTTGTGACCATATTGCTCTAACTTCTGACTTCACAGCTTTTCTTAAAATTCTTTTTCCTTTTTATTTGTATAAGTGGTGTGTGTGTGTGTGTGTGTGTGTGTGTGTGCATCCATCCACTTATGCACAGGATGCCTACAGAGACCAGAAGAGGGCATCATGTCCCATGAAGCTAGCTACAGGTGGTTGTGAGCTGCCTTATGGGTTCTGGGAACAAAACTTCAGTTCTCCCTGCAAAGAGCAGCAAGTGCTCTTAATCGATGATCCATCTCTTCAAACTCGGTCTTCTTAAAATTCTTATTGATGTATTTTATGTTGTAATGTAATAGTCACTCTTTTTAATAACCATATATAGTAAAATTCACAGGGATTTGGATGTGGATATATCTGGGCACTACTACACTGTCAGCCTACTGCATCATCTTAGCTACAACTTGTAGGTAAAAACACTGATCAAATGCTGTGAGAACTCTAAAGCCCTATCCAGTGAAAAGTACATATACACTAATGTGGAAACTCAGGAATTAGTATGTTATTGTACCCAAGAAGTTTGCAAACATAACAGAATGAGAAACAATCTTGTGCAGCAAGTGTATAATCTTTAGTTTTGTTTTTTTATGGAAGAAATTTAGTTGAAAAATACACAAATGAAACTAACTATAATCCTGTCCCTTTATATTTAAAATCATTGCTAACAATTTGGCAGTTACCTCTTAAGATGTATTTCTTTATTCAGTTTATTTTTACAAAACTGGTCATGTTATGCATAAAACTCCATTGCCAGATTTTTTTCCTTAAAAATCAAACAACTTTGTATCTGAATCAATAAGCATATTATGGAAGATTTTTGTACCTGTATCATCTATCTAATACTGAAAGGACAGTATTTTCAAACAGTAAAACTCATCTAATAAACTTTATGGGTTTTTAAAAAATATTTATTTATTATGTATACAATATTCTGTCTGTGTGTATGCTGGCAGGCCAGAAGAGGGCACCAGACCTCATTACAGATGCTTGTGAGCCACCATGTGGTTGCTGGGAATTGAACTCAGGACCTTTGGAAGATTAGGCAATGCTCTTAACCTCTGAGCTATCTCTCCAGCCCCCCTAATAAACGTTAATAATAATTTTAGGATCACAACAAAACTAAACAGGATATTATTATTGGATAAGCCCCTCCATTCCCCTATATCCACATCTTTCCAAAAGAATGGTTTCTTTGGTACAATCCATAAACTAACACGGGCACATCATAATTAGCCAAAGTCTTTAGCTTACAATATAGCTCACCCTTGGTATTATATGTCTGGTGAGTTTGATAAATAGTATATATCCACTGTTACACAGAGCAGTTTGACTGCCTAAAAATTTCCTGTGCTCCACTCACTACACATCCTTCCTCCCCCTAAACTGCTGGCAATCACTGGCCTCTTTCTTGGTTTACCATTTCCATGTCATGGGATCATGCAGTATGTTGACACTTCTGGTCAACTTCTTTCACTTAATTATATGAACATAAGGTTTTTTCATGGCTTGATAGTCGATAGGGTGTGTGGTGTGTTACATTGTTTGTGTATATGTTTGTCACTGTGCATGGGCAGAGGTTAGTAGACAACTTGAAGAAATCAGTTCTCTCTACAAGTGGGCCCCAAGGTGAATTATGATATGTACTAAGTAAAATTATTTAAAAACAAAAGGCAAATCCAGTTGTCTAAGTCCACTTGTATAAGTTATCTAAAGTTATTTGCCACTATACTTGGTAGCATGAACCTGGGAAAGCGGGTTCCTAAAAATGAGACGGACTGAAGTCTCATGCAATAGCCAACTTTATTCAGAGCATCAGACAGTTTATACCTGAGGGTTAGGAAGGATCACATGAGTAAGGTACTCAATTACAAGGACAGGCCATACTTGGCCAAGACATGCTTTTTCATAGAAGCACATGAATAACAACAGCAGAAGCAAACTCATTCCTATCTGCTATACCTGGGAGAAAGGCAAAACAACATTCTAAGAACAATTCTGTGTTTTGTAGAAACTGAAGTCACAAGACTCTTGTTTTCTTGGAATTTCTCACAAGCACTTCAAATTATCACACAACTCCATTCTTGTACTGTGGTCTGACATCAAGTAGGCAAATTTATGGAAATAGAAAGTAGAAAATTGGTACTTTAATGAGTACAGAAAAGGAGTGATTGTTGAACAGTACAATTATATAAGCATACTAAAAGCACTGAACTGTACATTGTTAGCATAGTTAGGAATGGTGCCACACACTTATGATCCTAGCTACTCAGGAGGTTGAGAAATGCAGATAGCACAGCCTGGGCTATATGCAAGACTGTCTCAAAAACCATAGTTAACATGGTATGTTTTATTTGGAATTTATTACAAGTAGAATGTAGTAACTTGTTTTCTCAAAATGGCAAAGTTAAGAATGGCTGACTCAGTGATGCAAAGGATATTCTCCCTGTAAATTTGTTCACAGAGCTGAATCAGCCATTTCTAACAAAGTGTAAAAAAGTCATTTGCTTAAATAGGTCAGGCATGTAATGTTTACAGCCTAAATTAACTGAAGTAATCATTTTAGTGTCAGGAATGCTATTACAAAATCTTATATATGAATCACATCTTTACGAGTTATAAGTTCCTGAAACAACAAAATAGACAGTAAAACGTGGTTTTTTTCAGGGTCTGGGAAGAAGTTCCAGTGATTAAACTGCTTGCTGTGCACTTGAAGGACTATACTTCGATGTAAAAATGCACAGCTGTGTGTAGTGCATATACCTGTAGCCCCAGCACTGGAACGCAGAGACCAAGTAGATCCTAGCAGTTCTGACCCGCTGGTCCAGCCAAAAACTTCAGGCTCTAGGTTCTGTGAGAGAATTGTTAAATTCAGTGAGAGATCTCTTTCTTATTAAAACAAGACAAAAAACTGGAGCATGATAGAGGAAGATGCCCAAGTAGACCTCTGGCCTCTATATACATACACAATTTTTACGAGTCTTTTAAAAATATTTTTTAATAATCAACCAAATTTAGGGCTGGAAAGATGGCTCAGCAGGTAGAAGCATTTGCACATAGGCCAGTCAAGCTGTATTTAATCCACAGACTCCCACAAGGTGGCAGGAGAGAACTGACTTCTGCAAGTTGTCCTCTGATGCGCACACCCCTAATTAACTAACTTAAATCATCTAACTTTATATGTAAAGACACTCACTTTGAACGAAAGTGGTTTGGTTTGGTTTGGTTTGGTTTTGTGCTTTTTACATACCATGAGAAATTTTTATATAGTTTATAGGTAAAACTGCTTGAAATTTCTGGAATATTTTATCTTTGTACCTTATAGGTCTTCTGGTACTACCTACATTAAATTTTATACTAATGGAAATAGCATAAATATTACATAATATTCTGTTTTATAGAATTTATAGAGGAAGCTTAGGAATTAAGTACTTTTCTATATAGTAGCAAATCCAGGACAATATTTAGTTTCCTAGGTTATTTCTTCTAATGTGTCTTATTTCCTTTTTCTGTAGGACAGGGATTCCCCAGTTTTATCTCTAAACTGAGAAAACAAACTCATATCAATACATAATGAGCTAAAGTGCAGCTGTGTTTATTTGCTGTTATGTAAAGGCGTATTTTCATTTACACACTACATAGAGAGTTTAAGGCCAGCCTATACACATTGCAGTAGCAAAGTAGATAGATAACTTGTGAGTTCAAGGCCAGCCTGAAAAAGCTGCAAAAAGAGACCCTATCTCTAAATAAATAAATATTTCCAAAAAGAAAAAAAATCTGATTAATTTTCCAAAAAGATCCTATAGCTTTTCCCCAGTATAGTTTAAGATACTGCTTTGATTTTTCTTTTTTTTTTTTTTTTACAAAAGAACTGGTGTCCACTAGTTGACTCTTTAAACAAGGGTGAATTTAGTTTTAGTTTAAAAAGAATAATCACTGAAATGTATTTAAAGTTAAGCCAATAGTTTATTTCTCCACTTTCCAATATGTAATTTGGTAACTTGCTGAAGTATCTTCAATTAAAGATAGTTTTAGTAAGAATTGAGTGCCCTCTTACTTGGAGAAACCATGTATGTAAATTAGTTTTTTCAGAGTAGATATTGTTGCAGAGCATAAACAAATGTGACACACCTTGAAATAATATTCTTTAACAACATATAGAGTCTTATATTTGTAATTCTATTTTAACTTAGAAATAAATGTTGAGGCATCTGTGTAATATATTTAAAAAGAACATTTGACCATGATTAAATATGAACTATTTATTTTGCAAATATCACTACTACTAATTAAAGCAAATATTTTAGAAAACATAGCTCAACACAAAGGAAGTATATCCTTTTAAGACTAATGGTATTCCATTTTATTAAATGTACCATATTTTATTCATCTGTTCATATGTTAGTGGACTAACTATTACATTTGACAGTTAATATTTCCAGTAGTAAAGCATGCATAATGAAATAAAAAGTGTATACATTTTTATTAAATGTCAACCCCATAAGCATTGTCACAGATGACTAGGGATATGCAGCATCTATCAATGAAAAGGCCTCTTAATGTTGCGATGTGGTGAAGATCTAAGTTAGGACTGAAAGTAGCTCAGCACCAATGACTTTCTTCTCTTTTCTGTTGCAGATCCAGACTTTACTTACCTTGGAGGTATTTTAAATCCCATCCCAGGTTTAGTATATTACTTTTTCTTCCTGTGACACTTTTTATTAGTTTTATTTTTCTTTGAATATCTTTTCTTTTTTTTCTAGATTGCCAGTTTGAGCTCTCAGGAGCTGATGGAATAATACGTTCTAGCCAGGTAGAACAAGAAGAAAAAACAAAACCTGGCCAAGCAGTTGACTGCATTTGGACAATTAAAGCCACCCCAAAAGCTAAGGTATTGTTTATTATATGTTGACTTACTCAGAGAAGGCCCTAAAGAGACATGATTTCTATATTGTACCGTTTGAATCATGTAAATATTTGTGACTCTAAATTTTTTGTTTCATTTCCTCTATTGGGCACCTACTAAGACCATAGTGGTTTTGCAGTTAAATAAACTGAGATAGAAACAATTAAAAATGTTATACATATATTAAGATTCTTCTTTAATTTTTAAGTATTGTGTGCACAAAGTCATACATGCCACAGCACACCTTTGGAAGTCAGAGGACAACTTCATGCAGTTGGTTTTCTCCTTCCACCTTTATGGGTTCTGGGAGTTAAATTCAGATTATTGGGATTGCACAGCAATCTTTTTACCTGCTGAGCCATCTTATCAACTCCATATTAAGATTTTTAATCTGGGAGTATTACAGTTTTTAAAAAAATCTGTGGAGTCCTAACTGATGAATACAAGTATTGATCAACCACTTGTTGGGTTTGGTTTTTTGTTTGTTTGGTTGGTTTCATTTTGTTTCTGTGTTTTAAGGGCCCGGGGAAGATGGCTTGGTGAGTAGAGTGCTCCCTGTGCAGTCATGAGGACCTGAGTTCAGATTCCCAGCACCCACATAATCAGGGCCCTTTGTGATAGGGCACCTCTGTCACTTCCGTACAAGGAGGGAGGGAGACAGGCGACTCCCAGAGGCGTGCTACTCAGCAGGTCCAGCTCAGAGGGGGAGCTCCAAGGTTCAGTGAGAAACCCTATCTCAAAAAATAACTAGATAATATCAAGAGAGGAAGTTACTGGCTACACATGTACAGACATGACACGCACATATGTCCAAAATGTCTTCAGAAGAAACCCCCTTTTCTGGCAAGGACATTTAGGCTGGAAGAAGTTAATATGTCTTAAAGGGTTGGTCATACAAGTAGAAACACATCATTGAATCTCACTCTAGTCTGTGTTCTCACTGCTGCCCTCTGTGATCCTGTGAAACTGTTATAGAACATGCTACGAAAAAGAGTGCCTTTCAATAACTGAGGTTGATCGCTGACTACCTTTGCTTTTATTTTTAATTGGTACTTCTAGGATTATCAACAGAAATAAAATTAGACTTAATGTATACATATGTAAAAAGGGGGAAGAAAAGAAAGAGGAACTGGGAGAACATATCATGATTTGGGAGCCAATCTGGGCTACGTAAGTGAAATCTGACTCTCCCACACAAAAAAATGGGATTTATAATTATGGGAATGATTAATAGCCTGAAATGTTTTTAAATAGACCAAAAACACTTGGAAATATTGGACAAAACTTACCATGTATTCCTCAGAAAGCAAATACAAGTTCAAAATAAAACCAGTAATTCTTATGAAAATAGACAACTGTATATTAGTACAATAAAAACAAACTGATACAAATGCCTCTGGCAATTTCAGTTACTCATTACTGCCCAGGGGTCAGGGATGGACATACCAGGAGTTTAGTTTTAACACTAACTCTGAAAAAAAGAAATAAAGCATAGGGCTTGTATAACCATTGTGAGGCCTCTTACACAGCCAGAACTGGTTTTTTTATTTTATTTTATTTTTTCCAATCTTTTCTCATTTTACATTCCTAGTTCCCACTCCCTCCCAGACTCCAGCTCTCTTCGCCTTTCCCCCACCATCTACTCCTCAGAGAGGGTAAGGCCTCCATGGGGAGTCAACAAAGTCTAGCACATCATTTTGAGGTAGGACCAAAATCCCTCCCACACCCTCATATTTAGGCTGAGCAAGGTATCCCTCCAAAGAGAATGGGCTCCATTCAAACACTAGGGATAAATCCTGGTCTCACTGCGAGTGGCCCCACAGACTATCCCCCACTTCAAAGGGCCTAGTTTGGTCCTGTGCTGATTCCCCCACACAGTCAGAACTCTTGGAGATGACTGAAATGAAAGAGTAACCAAGGAAACATGCTACATAGCCATGGTGAGGTGAGGTTTTGTTTGTTTGATTTATTTGTTTTGTTTTTGAGACAGGGTTTCTCTGTGTTAACAGTCTTAACTGTCCCGGAACTTGCTTTGTAGACTAGGCTGACCTCAAACTCACAGAGATCCCCTGCCTCTGCCTGCCAAGGGCTGGGATTAAAGGTGTGTGCCACCATGCCTGGCATTATTCTGTGCTTTCATACATAGAAGGTTACCTTTGTGTTTGGGATATGAATTGATATGGCTTGGTCAGTCCAGGAAGTACAGATCACAAAAATTAACAAGAGTGTCTAGTCCTGAGCTCACAACTGTAAGGTAATAAATTCATCCAAAATAGCCAAACATACTCCCAATCCCAGTTAAGTAACCCCTCTGCTCGCAGTCCATCATGAGGTGAAAGCAGACAAAACAAGGAGAAAGAAGTTTAGCCTCCTGGGTTTTAGATTTCCAAGAACTGTATCCTACAACAAGGAATAGAAAGATCAGAAAGGAAAATGACCAGGTAGATTTTTTTAAAGGACTACATGTATAGACCATCAATAATAAAATGAATGGCTATTTAAAAAACTGAGGAAATTTAGTAATAGGAATGTGTAGCACTATCTTAAGATATTTTTTCAAGAATTGATGAAAGGCATAACACAGTGGCTCCCAAAAAGAAATATGTTTAAATGATGTGGAGATTGAACTCACAGACAGGAAAAACTTAAACAACCCGAGAATAGGAAAATTGTCTCCAAAGGGATATTTACTCACTTATTGATTACATGTAGTTATTTATTATATATGTGAAGGAGATACATGCGTGCCTTGGCACACATGTGAAGGATGGAAAACAACATTCTAGAGTCTGTTCTCTCATTTCTCCTCTTGGGACCCAGGAATCAAACTCAGTCTTCACAGTGGTGTCTTTACCCACTGAGCCATCTTGCTGGCTTGATGCTATTTAGATTGACCCTAGTAAAATAGAAGCCCAAGGAGATGGATGTCTTGAAAGTAAGAAAAATAATAGCTGGTAACTACGTTTCTGACTGGATGAAGAATGAAAGCAAAGCTAAGGGATTTCGGCTAAAAATGATAAGTGAACTAGGTGCAACATTTAAAATCCAAGTAAGTCCTGTTTATAGGACAACTGTGTAAGAGTTTGAAGATAGGAAGGTAAGAGATGTGTCTAGGAGTTGCCTCTGTGAGTAAAGTGCTTTCTCTGTGAGCTTTAGGAAACTAAGTTTGGTTCCTAGCACCCATGGAGGGCAAGGCTGGCCATGTCTATAACCCAAGCACTGGGATGGAAGGGGCAGGAACAGACAGATCCCAGTAGACAGTTACTCTAGCTGGAATGGGGAGTCCCAGATTTAGTGAGAGACCCTGCCTCAAAGAATAAGATGGAGAGAGGAAAATACCCGCTAAACATCCACACACAAGTGAGCATACCTGCACACACATGAATGTATGAGTCATACAATAAATAAATAGTAAGACATGCCCATAAAATACCAAAAGAAAGTAGGTATTACGTATTAAAATAGGAATCTAGAGTTACCAATTCACAAGAAAAACATAATCTAAAATCTTACAGATTATGGCTTCAAAGTATACAAAGCACAAACTAAATTTTCACTTCAATAATTAATAGACCAAAAGTTAAAAAAAATTATTAAGGCTCTTGAGGTTTAAACAACATGTGCTGTCTTGATAACAGCATCTGGACAGTATATGTTCTTTCTAAGCTTAGACTTATCAAAATTGATACATGTATTAGACCAGCAGTTTTCAACCTGTAGGTCTTAAACCCATTTGGGGGTCAAATGACCCTTTCGCTAGGGTTACCCAAGACCATCAGAAAACACAGATATCCTGCATATCAGGATTGCAGTTCATAACAGTAACAAAATTACAGTAATGAAGTAACAACAAAAATAATTTTGTGATTGGGAGTCACCACAACATGAGGAACTGTATTAAAGGGTTGCAGCATTAGAAAGTTTAAACTAATTGTGTTACACTAATGTGTACACAAGGTCAAATGTTTAGAAATGAAGCATATGCTACTTAGTAATTTATATAGCACAAAAGAAATCAGGACGGAAGTTTAAATACATATAAAACTTAGTAATTAAAATACATCAAAAATTGTGGGATATATTTAAAACAGTGTTTTAAGACTATTTATGACCATACATGCATCTTTTGGGGGGAAAAAGCTTGAATTTAATGAGCTAATGTTCATCCTGAAAAGAAAAATGATAAATTTCAAGAAGGTAAAAGATAATTTTAAGAACAGATATAAGTAAAAGCCTAATATCCTTGTTAGTTGTAATTGTCAGCTACCCTAGAGTCATCTGAGAGGAGAAGCATCAGCTGAGGGGTTGCTGGCAGACCAGTCTATCAGCATGTCTGTAGGCTGTGCTCTCCCACAGTTCCCTCCGCTGTGCAGCCGCACTTTTTATGTAGACCCCTGTTGACATTCGGCGCCTCTTCCTGTGCTATTGAAGTTCTTCCTGGAAAGTTCCTGCACCTACTGCAGGGTCTTGAAGAGGGTTTCCCTATGACTTCTTTGAAAGGTTCAGTGCTTCACATTCTAAATTAATGTCTTTGATCAGTTTTTATTTGATTTTTGTATAATGTGGATGATATCAATTTAATTCTATTCTTTGGCAGGTAGAGGTCCAGTTTTACCAGCACCATTTATTGAATAGACTACCTTTTTTCCCTCAGTGAAAGTTTCTGACTCCTTTGTCAGTTAGATGTGGGCATAGTTTTGGTGGTTTACTCCTGGGTTCTGATTGACCTCTCTGTAGTAGTACAAGGCTGTCGTTATCACTATAGCCCTACAATATGGTTTGAAGCCGGGAATTGAATTGCACAGGAAGAGGCACCAAGTGTCAACAGGGGATCTACCAAAAAGCAAAAAACAAAAAAAACAACAACAACAACTGCTGAACAGCTAAGGAAACTGTCGGTAGAGCACACAGCCTACAGAAAGGGAGAGACTCTTTCCCTCAGATAAGGAGCTAATATGCAAAAATAACTGCAGGAATTAAATACC